CCTCTGCAGAGTCTGGGCCTGGTGGACAGGAACAATGAGCCGCTCACCCACGCCATGTACAACCTGGCCTCCTTGCGCGAGCTGGGTGAGACCCAGCGCCGGCCATGTACCATCCAGGTGCCGGAGCCCATCCTCCGCAAGATAGAGACCTTCCTGAACCACGTAAGAGTCCCCTACATCCACTGTGCCTATGCCTTCATCTCCCCAGATGGAAAGCCTCCACCTGCAGCAGGCGTAGTAACTCCTCCCTTCCCCTGCTGGGGACGGAGCCTGGGAACACCCTTGCCCCTAGCAGTCCAGTCTTGCCCTAGGGTCCTGGGGTGGTCAGGACTGAGTCATGCGCAGTGGGTTAGACCACAGCCTCTGGCCCAGGTGAATCTTGGGTAAACGAGAAGGTATTTCTCTTTCACCATGTTGCTTGCCTCTCCTGTCCCCCAGTACCCTGTGGATAGTTCGTGGATCTCCCCAGAACTCCGGCTGCAAAGTGATGACATCTTGCCCTTGGGCAAGGACTCAGGGCCCCTCAGCGACCCTATCACAGGCAAGCCGTTCATGCCCCTGTCAGAGGCAGAGGAGTTACGTCTGAGCCAGAGCCTGTTGGAGCTGTGGCGGCGGCGAGGGCCAGTCTGGCAGGAGGCCCCCCAGCTCCCTGTGGACCCTCATCGGGACACCATTCTCAATGCCATCGAGCAGCACCCGGTGGTGGTCATCGCCGGGGACACTGGTTGTGGGAAGACCACGCGCATCCCGCAGCTGCTGCTGGAGCGCTATGTGACCGAGGGCCGTGGCGCGCGCTGCAACGTGATCATCACGCAGCCGCGCCGCATCTCGGCTGTGTCCGTGGCGCAGCGAGTCAGCCACGAACTGGGTCCCTCCCTTCGCCGGAATGTGGGCTTCCAGGTACGGTTGGAAAGCAAGCCTCCGGCCCGAGGTGGGGCCCTGCTCTTCTGCACAGTGGGCATCCTGCTGCGGAAGCTGCAGAGCAATCCCAGCCTGGAGGGCGTGAGCCATGTCATCGTGGATGAGGTGCACGAGCGGGACGTGAACACGGACTTCTTGCTGATCCTGCTCAAGGGCCTGCAGCGGCTCAACCCGGCCCTGCGGCTGGTGCTCATGAGTGCCACCGGCGATAATGAGCGCTTCTCTCGCTACTTTGGTGGCTGCCCTGTCATCAAGGTGCCCGGTTTCATGTACCCCGTCAAGGAGCACTACCTGGAGGACATCCTGGCCAAGCTGGGCAAGCACCAGTACCCGCACCGGCACCGGCACCATGAGGTGAGGAGATGCTCCTGCCCCGTCCTGCCCATGCTCTCCTCCGTGGACTCCCCTCCTCCTGTCCCTGTGGCCCGGTGGCTGAGGACAAGTTAACTTTCCCAAGCATTGGTTTCCTTGCTAGAAATGGGAATGATCAGGCCTGTTTGACAAGGGTGCGGTGAGGGTTGCAGGTGATGTTTCACGTGCCTCGGCCTCACTGAGTCTTGGTGGCCGTGTCCTGTGCACGACCCCTGGCCCCAGGGCTGTGACTGTGGCCTCTCTTCCCCCACCCCAGTCTGAGGATGAATGCGCTCTCGATTTGGACCTCGTGACTGATCTGGTTCTGCACATCGATGCCCGGGGGGAACCAGGTGGGTGCTTTTTCCTCTGCCCCATGCCCACCCTGCCCTCCATCTGCCAGGAGCCACTGGCTCATACCCTCGGGGCTCCTTTACAGGTGGAATCCTCTGCTTCCTGCCTGGCTGGCAGGAGATCAAAGGAGTGCAGCAACGCCTGCAGGAGGCCCTGGGCATGCATGAGAGCAAGTACCTCATCCTGCCAGGTGAGAGCCTGTGTGACGGGGATGGTGGCCCAGACATCAGGCTTGCCCTCTGTCCTAGACTCGCCTGGGGCTCAAGGGCCGTGGGTTTCTCACCAGGCTGCACTGCTTTTGCTGGCTTTGCAACTTCTACTGGGCATGCCACTGATCTGGGCCTGTTTCATCAAAGTAGGGTCAAAATCCTTGCCTGCCCTTATCAGGGGAAGTTTTGGTGGGAGCAGCACCCATAACTAGTGTGTTCTTGCCGCCCACCAGTGCACTCTAACATCCCCATGATGGACCAGAAGGCCATATTCCAGCAGCCTCCCGTTGGGGTGCGCAAGATTGTCTTGGCCACCAACATCGCTGAGACCTCCATCACAATCAATGACATTGTGCATGTGGTGGACAGCGGTCTGCACAAGGAGGAACGCTACGACCTGAAGACCAAGGTGGCACCTAGATCCACCCTGGACCTGCGTGTGTGTCTGGAGAAGGCCACACTTGTGGGGTCTCAGTGTCCCTGTTGGGGAGGGCTGTAGAGGGGTTGAGTGAGGTGAAGGCCAGGCGTCCGGGAGCACAGAGGAAGGCCTGTGGTGTCCATGTGGCTGCTCACCTGCCCCCTCCCCCAGGTGTCCTGCCTGGAGACTGTGTGGGTGTCTCGAGCCAATGTGATCCAGCGCCGGGGTCGGGCGGGCCGCTGCCAGTCAGGCTTTGCCTACCACCTCTTCCCACGGAGCCGGCTGGAGAAGATGGCCCCTTTCCAAGTGCCAGAGATTCTGCGCACGCCTCTTGAGAACCTGGTGCTGCAAGCCAAGATCCATATGCCCGAGAAGACGGTGCGGCAGAGGCAGGTGGGGGGCTGGCCCTGGGGTCAGGCAGGCAGGGTGCAGGCTAATGGGGGCTCTGGCTCGTTTGTGCTGCAGGCAGTGGAGTTCCTCTCCAAGGCCGTGGACAGTCCAAACATCAAGGCAGTGGATGAGGCTGTGATCCTGCTCCAGGAGATTGGTGAGTGGGGCCGGGCCGGGCCGGGCTGCGGAGTGGCTAAGGGCGGGACTGACAGCTGAGCTTGCAGGGGTGCTGGACCAGCGGGAGTACCTAACCACCCTGGGGCAGCGCCTGGCCCACATCTCAACCGACCCACGGCTGGCCAAGGCCATAGTGCTGGCTGCTATCTTCCGTTGCCTGCACCCACTGCTGGTGGTCGTTTCCTGCCTCACCCGGGACCCCTTCAGCAGCAGCCTGCAGAACCGGGCGGAGGTGGACAAGGTCAGACCCGGAGCCTTCGCGTAGCCCTCTGCTCTCCCTGTGCCATTCTGCCACTTCCTGTCCTGAGGTGGCCTCCTCTAGTCCCTGCCCTGTGACTGCAGCACCCCCCTACTCTCCCAGGTGAAGGCACTGTTGAGCCACGACAGTGGCAGTGACCACCTGGCCTTTGTGCGGGCTGTGTCTGGCTGGGAAGAGGTGCTACGCTGGCAGGACCGGAGCTCCCGTGAGAACTACCTGGAGGAAAACCTACTCTATGCTCCCAGCCTGCGCTTCATCCACGGTCAGCGGGGCCCTGTGCAGCTCTGAGTCCCTCCACCCTTCCCACTCATGCTGACCCCATGCACAGTGAGCTGAGAACCAGGGGTCCTGGGTTCACCCCGACTTTGCCTCCCCAGGACTCATCAAGCAGTTCTCGGAGAACATTTATGAAGCTTTCCTTGTGGGGAAGCCCTCGGACTGCACCCTGGCCTCTGCCCAGTGCAACGAGTACAGTGAAGAGGAGGAGCTGGTGAAGGGCGTGCTGATGGCGGGTCTCTACCCCAACCTCATCCAGGTGCTGCCTTGGGGAGGTGGAGTACCGGGCCCTGGCCTCTCTTCCCATCCCAGCTCCTTGTCCAACCCACCCACCTCTTCCTTCATCCTGGCAGGTGAGGCAGGGAAAGGTGACCAGGCAGGGCAAGTTCAAGCCCAACAGTGTCACATACAGGACCAAATCCGGCAACATCTTGCTGCATAAGTCGACCATTAACAGGTGGGGGTGCTGTCAGTGGGGGCGCGGGACAGCTGGGATGGTCCAGTAGGGGGGCCTCACCTAGCCCTTTGTTCCTAGGGAGGCCACACGGCTCCGGAGCCGATGGCTGACGTATTTCATGGCTGTTAAGTCCAATGGCAGCGTCTTCGTCCGGGATTCCTCCCAGGTGCACCCGCTAGCTGTGCTGCTACTTACCGACGGGGACGTCCACGTCCGTGGTGAGTACCTGCAGACCTCCTGCCCCACCGCTTCTCTGGCTGCTGTCTCCTCCGGGGCCTGGCCTTACCCGGGCTCCCCGTCTTTCCCTTCCTCTAGATGATGGGCGCCGGGCCACCATCTCCCTGAGTGACAGCGACCTGCTGAGGTTGGAGGGTGACTCTCGCACCGTGCGACTGCTGAGGGAGCTGCGCCGGGCCCTAGGCCGCATGGTGGAGCGGAGCCTGCGCAGCGAGCTGGCCGCCCTGCCACCCTGCGTGCAGCAGGAGCACGGGCAGCTGCTTGCCCTGCTGGCAGAGCTGCTGCGTGGACCCTGTGGCAGCTTTGATGTGCGCAAGACAGCTGACGACTGAGCCCCGTGACCGCTGGGGCTGTGTACAGAGTGCAAATGTTTATTTAAAATAAAGTTCTATTTATCCCTTGTGAGCATTGCTATCCGCTGGGGCTCCTCTCTCAGGGCCTCAGTGCCCTGGGCTGGGGGCCACGGCTCCCTAAAGCAAGAGGCAGAGTGAAGGTGCAGGAGGAAGGGACTTAGGCCTATTGCCGGGGATGGGGCTGTGGTCCAGTCTCGGGAGGAAAGGACATAGGACCTACCTCTCCTCAGGAGCTTCAACCACCTGTGCGGTTAACCGGCTTGTGCTGCTTGGCCCAGCCTAGTCTGTCACAGCTGCTCTCACAGGCACTGTCCTTGTAGGTATGGACAGCAAGTGTTGAGGTCTGGCTCCCTGAGGCAGGGCCCACAGTGTCTAGCCTGGTCGTCTGGCTACCACCTAGCCCAGGCAGGCAGGGGAGGGAGCAGAGGCCCACTCACATCTAAACCCTTGGTCATACCCACAGGTTCACACATCACCACAAACAAGGGGTGAGGTCATCAAGCCAGCACAGTGCACACCAGTCCCTTGATGCAAGGGCACGAGCTGGGGGCTGGAGGTGGAGAGTACCAGGACTTAGAGAAGACAGGGGACCTGCATACTGAGACTTAAGAGCTTTATTTACTCTTGAAATCGGTACAACAGAATCACAGATTGACACAGGTGATGGCGGAGCCATAAGCAAATCAGAAAGTACAGAAATGCCCTACTCCCAATGGCTGCAGAGGAGTACACAGCACACACGGCCTCTGGTCCCACTTGTCAGGGCTGCCTTCTCAGCTTCTCTGGCTTGTGGGACCCTTCAAAGGAGCTGTGACCAGACCGCCTCAGCCCCCATTAGAGAGCTCCCGACTGGGATCACCTCTCCCACCCCTACCCTTGACCAAGGGAGTAAAAGGACCAGAGCCTTTTGTCCACCTCAGCATCCCTGTGCCTCCAGGATCAACACCGGGAGGGCGCAGGTACCTTGAGGCCCAGCACTGCCACCTGGACTTCGTCTCCTGGCACCCCACCCCCCACTGCACCCTCCCAGTTTCATCTTGCCCCTTCCTCTTGCTGACAGACATGCCCCTATGTCCCTGGCACCCCTTTCTCCACAAGACCCCTGCCTTTTCTTGGTATGTGCCTGGGGAGCTGGGGATATGGTGTAGAATCTCCCCTAAAGAAAATGCTATCTTAGAAACTGTCCAGCCCAGATGCCCTCTCTCTACATGGGCATCAAATCAACCTAGGTCAAGAACCCTCCACCTTCTCAGCAACAAGGGACACCAGAAGCCGGGGTAGGGGGCGCGGGGGCCAAGTCTGTGCTGCAGAAGATGCTTTTCCAGAGGAGAAGCCTTGGTGACTCCCAGGCCATTTCACTACAAACTCTTACATTTTAATCCTTTATTAGAAACCATGCAAACTTTAATACAAAAAATACAAGTGCAATAAGAATCTTCGTGTCAATGCAATTCCCGGGACTTATCATTGCAGCCATCTCAAGCCAGGCCTAACCGGGACACCCCTCCGCAGGCTGGCCTTGCCTCTCCTCCCTCCCGTCTCCAGTCAGGTTATAAGGGAGGTGGAACGGCCCATCTCACGGCCTTATTTTTAAATTTCCAGACCTGATTCCCCACTGTCCACCTGAGTTCTGGACATCTCATGCTCCCTGGCAACTGAGGGCTCGAGCATCCCAGGCTGCAGGCCTGGAGGCATCTGACCTCCATGGCCCTTTCCAGCCCTGACCTTGTATCTCCCACCAGATCCCAGGGAATGAGACAGACACAGATGCAAAAACCAGCCTGTTGGTTAGAAAAGAAAAGCAGCATACACACAAAATGCCAGAACCACCAGTTCACACTGCGACCAGCCCCACGCGGGCCCCGTCTGCGCTCCAGGCCACAGCCCATACACCGTGCCTGCCCTGCCCACACCACCTCCGGGGCTCCAAGCTGCCCAAGCCAGGGCAGCCCCCAGTGCCTGACCTCCGGGCTGGAGGCTTCAGGATCTCCCCTCCCTGTTTCCTTTAACACCTACTGAGGACTTTCATTTACACATGGCTTCACCTGCAAAAACTACTCCATCAGTTTTTATGTTATTTAAAAAAAAAAAGGATAAAAGAACAAAGTGTGACAGCGGCTAGGCAGGCATGGGAAGCAGCGGGGAAAGGCAGCACTGCCCCTGAGTAACTTGGGGCAGGGCAGCAAGAGGCGCCTGGCACCACCCGCACAGTGGGCACCAGTGTAGGATCAGGGAGAGCCAGGGGCGTAGCAGGCTCCAGGGGATGCAGTCAGCGCCCAGCCATCACACGGACACCCTCTTCCCCACTGCTCCAGGTGGACCCAGCAAGGAGGAACAGTATGTCAGTTTCTCTTGGGTTTGGTCCAAAAACCCAAACAAACAGAGGAGGCTGGAATCTGGGTCCCCCCACCATCCCAACCCAATCCCAGGAGATCCCATGTTAGCCTCCACCACCCCATCTCCCTCCCAACCTTCTGGGTGGAGCAGTGGCGCTTTGAGACAGGAGCAAAGCAGGGGGCTGGGCTGGGGGTGCGGGGCAGGAAGGAAGGAGGAGTGGGGGTAGGACTGTCACCCTGGGCAAGCCAGGCAGGAGGGAGGGAGGGGCCTAGAGGGCAGCCCGGGAGAGGGAGCCAGGGGCCCGGGTGCCTGAGCTGGGGCCGCCAGGGAAGTGGGGGGGGCGGGAGACAATGTCGGCCCCGTGGTCGGTGCGGGCCCTGGCGTTTTCCCGGAACGTCAGCCTGTAGGTCTCAATCTGCAGTGACACGGGAGGAGTGAAGGGAGAGGGTGATGGGGGAGACAAAAGGGGGGACAGAGGGGACGGAAGACGAGACCAGAATGTCATCATTAGATGCCTGGAAAATAAAAGGTTGCCTTGTTAAAATTCAGGCCACACTCTAGTCAGGAAACAAAGGAGTTTCAATTTGCAGCCAGTGGCAGGGCCCCTGGCTGGCCCTCAGGCCAAGCCCAGCCACTTACTTGTCTCCTGGATCTGGCTGTCCAAGGTCTGGGCCTCCCTTTGGTCACCACCCCCTGCCAGGGTGGTGTGGCCACTGAGGCCACTGGCTGAAGTGGGGGCGCCTGCTTCGGGCGCTGCCTCAGGGATGGCCAGCTCCTCCCCAGCGGGGGGGCCTGGACACGGAGGGGCCTCGCTGCCACCGCCCTCAGTCTACAATGAAACAGTGGGGGAGACAGTGCAGGGTCAGTGGGGAGGGAGTGGGATGGTGATGGTGGTGGGTTTTACACGCAGCCCCCACCCCCGCCATCCCACTGGATTAATGTCCAGGCATCTCGAGGGGTAGAGCAGGTGCTCCCACCCCACCCCCACCCACAAGACCAACTCCAGGCTCATGCCAGGCTCTAGGAGACTCCTCTGGGAAGTGAAAAGTGCCAGGCCTCTCAACAAGGCTGAAGCCACATAAAATTAGCTATGACAGCCGATCATTAGCAAAAATCCAAGTAACAAGCTCCAGATGGGGAGTCTGGACTTGGTTGGGGAGCTCCAGGACCTTGAACTCAGTTCCCAAGGGGTGCAGGCCACCACTGCGGACTTAAGGGGCACCGTGAGCATGGGCTCAGAGAGGCTTCCTCAGCCATGCCAGGGGCAGCCCTGCCTGTTCACCCATCATCCACAAACCCCTGCCATAGGCCTCTTCTGGGCCGGGCACCCTTCCAGGGCCTGGGGGCACAGGGGAGGGAGGAAGAGGTCCAAGGAAGTGGGACCAGGGAGACTGTGGGGGCTGAGAGGGCTTTACAGGAGGGAAGAGGACTCGTGGGGACGGTGAACACTCAGTATGAATCACCAGCAGAAGAGGGAAGGCACTGGTGAGCTGGCAGGCCTGTGTCCGGAATGCCCAAAGGTGACAACCACTCCACTGTGGTTTTTAATCAGAAGAGTGAAAGAAACAGACCTCTGTGTTAGAAAAATCGTTCCAGAAATGATATGAAAGAAAGGGAGACAATGCAAATTAAAAAAAGAACACAAGACTTGGGGTCAGAAAAGCCCAGGTGTGAGCCCTGGTCTGCACACGCTCACCATGTGACCAAGGACAAGTGACTACACCTGAGTGAGCACCCTGGGGAGTAAGACCAGAGAGTGGCCCCCGAGGTGTAGAGCATGACCTCAGAGCCTGGGACAGAGCAGGACCCCCAAAATGTCACGGAAGCTGGTCAGGGCCTGAACTGGAGCACTGACGGTGCACAAGACAAAACAAGGGCTGGGAGGGACCCATGCTGGGCAGTCGGATGCAGGAGGGAAGGCTCCCAGCACCGCTCTTGTCCCCTTGTCCCTGAGCAGCTGCAGCCAACCTTAGCTTGGAGGCCTGAAAGATGCTGACCTCACAGGACCCACTACCCACCAATGACACAGAACAAAGGACAAGACAGCATCTTGGCACACAGAGGATCACGGTACTGTGGAAGGAAGGAGGGAGGGAAGGAGAGGGAGGGCAGGGAGGAGGCCCAGCCAGGCCCAGGATGGAAGCTCTGCGCGGCAGTGCTGTCCCACAGCCCTTCCCAAGGAGGTGGACGCCAGGCCTGCTGTCACTGGCAGTTGAAATGTGCCATCCTGCTCCCAGGCCCGGAGCAGAGCCTGACACTGAGCAGGTCCCCACACTCCCCTTTTACAAGGTAGCTGCGAGAACCGTACCACACAGACTCCTGGCCTCGTGGGGATCCGAGCCCCAGCCCTGTCCCCCTGAAAATGGCTGAGATGGGCTCAAAAAGTAAAGCAGGCCCTGCCTCTCAGAAGAAAGTTCTGCCTCCATCTGGACAGGTAAGAGGTGACCAGGCTGGGGCCCCTTCACCTCTCCTGCCTCGCTCAGGACTGATGACAGACAATGGGAAACAGCAATGGAGTGGGGGAAACGTGGCTCCTGAAGAGACTGAGGGGCGGTGACAGGCACCCACCTGCTGGGACCCAGACTCTACACGCCCAGCCTCCCTCCCACCTGGGGACCCACCCTACCTTCACAGCACCTCCTGCCGGCAGGTGGCCCACGTTATCAAGGGAGCCCACCTTCGCCTGGGCCTTCTCCTTGAAGTTCAACTTCTGACTTTCGATCTTGACATCTCCTCCACCTGGAAACAAAAAGAAACTGGTCACTACAGATGGCAGAGAAATACTCGTATAGGCAAAGCCAGGAGGCTGGCCAAGGAACAGGATGTTATGCCCGACAGAAATGGGGAACTCACGACCTGCTCCTGGTGGCTAAGAAAAAAGGAGAAGGCACAGGGAACAGGCCTGTCAAAATAGGGCTGCTCCTGGAGAGGTCAGGGTGAGGCAATCTCTCCCTGCAGCCAGAGAGAAGGAAAGTTCTCACCACCTGCAGCGTGCACTCCCCCGGACCAGCCTCTAAAGGTGCCTAGGTGCGGGACTGCTTCGGGGTCTTCCGGAGGTGTGACAACTCCTCTAACTGACCGTCGGGGCAGGAGCCCAGCCTCATCTCCCGGGCGCCCTGTCGGTCAGCACCGGTACTGGAGAAGAGGAGGGACCTGCCCTGAGTCATCATCAAGCCTGTGACTGACAGGCAGGATGGAAGTATGGTCTGCGTGAGCCGCTGAACTGGATCTCACCATCGTGAAAGAAAGGCAGGCAAGAGGAGGGCACGGAGGGAAAGCAGTCTGTACACGGGCAACACTGAGAGCTCACGGGTCAGAATACGGTCACCGTCCACCCGGCCCCTCAGAACAGCTTCCCTCTGAGCCCTTCTTCACTCTTCCATCACCTCTTGGTCACACCACCAACCGCAACACCCAGCTTCCTGCCAGCTCACCACGTGTCCTCCCCACTGGCGCTCCAGCCCCTGCAAAAACTGGACCTCAGGTCACTCGTGGTCACTAGGGAAGGAGGTATCTCACAAGAATGTATTTTCCAGACAGAAGGGAAAAATGAAAGTTATTAAGGACCCAACTTTTTGATCTTTTTAAATAGAATGCCTTCTAAAATGGATGATACGTTTTGCTGAGATGGAGGGGAGTTCTCTCTGCCTTCACCTTAACTGGCCCCAGACCTGCCGGCCAGTGTGCCTGCCGCTGCAAGAATGGCCCTGCCCCAGACCTGCTGCAGGACATCTGGGGACCAGGACACATGAGGCTCTTGGGCACAGACAAGACAAGGCGGCACTTTTGCTCAGACAACATCCTGCTGCTCAGAGGCCTCTGTGCGGGTGCCAGGCTGCCTGTGCTGTTGGAAGGACAGCTGACATCACTGTGGTCTGACCCACAGCTGTGAGCCGAGGGGGCTCTATTGGCCTCTATCTCCTGCTGGAGCTGGTGGTTGATGATTCACTGCTTGGGAACAGCCTTCGCTCCGGATTTGACAGGCGAGGCCCGGCCAGTGCGCTCGAGAGCTCCCTTAGCGCTGGCTCCTGGAATGCTGTCTGGGAGGCCGAGCCCTCCCCTAGGCCTAGTCAACGGTGCTCTGCGCACAGCAGGTCCTCATAGCGCTGCCCGTCCAAGTGGCAGCTTTTACATACTGTCCCCCCTGCAACTAAGAGGTGAGTGCCCCGAATTCCCCCTCACTGACAGGGACTGAGGGCTGCACTGTCTCCACTGCTGGGTCCTGGGTGCGAGTGGAAAGACAAAGGGACAGGGATGAAACCCAGGCGGCCCACCCGCCCCAGGTGACCAGGGCACGAGTGACACCACTCACCAGGCTTGTGCTTGATGTTAGCTTTGGACCCACACTTGGAGGAGACCTTAGAGATGTCCACCTTCTTGTTCTGAATCTGAACCTGAGGAGAAACACACACACAAAATCACTGCCTCAGACAGAAGGTGTACTGTCAGCCCACACTCTCTTTATGGTCTATGAAACCCAGCTCAAAGGCCACCTTCTCCAAAACCTTCCATGGCTCCAGCTTCCCTCCATCTCTTCTTTACACCATCTCTTCAAGGGACATCAGCACCAGCTGCACACGAGTCACTACATGTGTTCAATAACCTTACCGAGCACCTATGTCCATCAGAACAGCAGCCTCCACTCTGCCTCATCTCTCTCACAAGGCTATGGCTCTCCCTAGACTGGAGCGGAGGGACGGGCACTTCTCCCAGCCACACATTAGGCAGCTGCTTAAAACAAGCCACCATGTGGTGACCAATCTTGTGCCAACCCCGAGATGACCCCTGACGAGTCAAACAGAGGTCAGTTGTGAAGGCCAGGCTCTTGCCAGGCTGTGGAACTCACACACCTCTTGACAGAGTTCCACTCATGAAGCCTAGATCTCAATGAAAGAATAGCTGCTGAGGGCAGGTTTCGCTTTACAGATGTAGTCCAGCCCATCCGTGGAGGCGGCACCGGAAAGTGGGGAGTGGGGCATCATCCCTGAATGCACGGGGCTAGGTCTGGGGCATCACCAGCTGCTGGCATCAGAGGGGGAGAGACTACATGAGTGAGACATCCTGGACCTCCTGACAGAAACACTTACACCATTGCCTATGAACGTCTTGCAAAAATGTGTGTGTGTGTGCGTGTGTGTGTGTGTGGAGGGGGGGAACCAAACCTAAATCAACCTAAAGAAAACTGTGGGACAAAGAAATACGTTAGATGAAACCATGGGGACATCATCAGCAGAATCCAAATTCTAAGACAAGCCACTCCATTTACTCATGAAAAAGATTACTATGAAAAAAAAAAAGGACAGGGAACTTACAGAGTAAAAGAGACAAATCTATCATAGTATTTGGACCTTACTTGCTTTTTAATTCAAATAAGCAAGACTGTTTAACATGTTATGGAGTTTTATATCACATATGTATGTATATTAGAGGGTTCTTATTTTTTTAACTTATATACTGGAGTATATGCAGATAAAAGATATAACTAGTGCTGGCTTCAAAATAATAGGGGTGGGTATACACAGATAAGACTGACTACAAAGATAATAAATGAAGCTGAGTAAAAAGTACATCCAGTTCAATTTACCATTTTTTCTACTTCTGTTATGTGTTTGAAAATTTCTACTATTAAAAGTTTAAGAAACCTTAGTTACATCTCATTCACTTAACAAAGCCCGCTCCCTCTGAGATGCGACTCCACCTCCTCAGGCAGGCATACAGAGGAGCCACAATCTGCTTCCAAAAGATCCACCCCGCCCCACCGGCCATTAGGGAGCCAAGTTCTGCTGCCCCGGTCTAGGACATGTGTCTCTCATGCTTCAAAGGCTGGTCCCGAAGTCCCCCGACTTGGTGAAGCCCGGCAGAGCACAAGCCTGAGGCGGGCCCTCCGTACACAACCGCCCACAGCAGCATGGACATGGCTACAGAAATGACACTGCCGATGGGCCTCAGAGCCCACTAACCCGTACACCCCTCTTCGGGGCCGAAATGAACTAAAACAGCCACAGAAGTTACCCTGGGATCAGCCATGGCAGCGGCGCCACGTTCCCAACTCTGATGTCCTCCCAGTTCTCAACAGGGACACGTCTGTGTGGACGTGGGACCTGCCCAGAGCACTGGCTGGGATCCCGCCCCATGTGGCTCATCCCTGCGCTAATTCCAGAATGTGTCTCAGGGAGGAAGGGGGTGCTGTGAGAGGCCGGCGGGCTCAGTCTACTGACACCAAACGTTCACTCAGCTGTGGCTTGATGGAGGGGCTGAGGAAGCCATGACAGGGCCTCAGCCCGGGCTGTTCACCCTGGTCTTCCCACCTGGAACCGCTGTCACAGGTAGTTTCCTAATGCTCTGCTGTTTAAGGAAGCTTTCTAAAATGAAAATGCTTCAAAAAAATACATTTCCTCACCAAAAAACTCTTGCATGGAGTCATGTGTAGGCAGTGTGAAAGGACCAGAGTAGGTGAAAGATAAATGAGGACTATTTCCAGAGCTCTGTCACACACCACACAACACACGTAAGTGCATTTCTATTTCTCTCTCTCTCTCTCTCACACACACACACACACAAGCGACCCCATTCCCTCAGAATCCCTGTTCACCTGTTTTCATCCAGGCCAAACCCTGAGAGGAAAAGCCAGGGCCGGTGCCTCCCTGGGCCCCTCACAGCGGGATCCTGAGCACCATAACCAGAAACTGCCTTTCACAGATTTACCACCTCAGCCGTCCCACACCAGGTGGTCTAATGTCTGGCCAACACCCAGCTGGTCAAGCACTGGCCACCTGAGTGCAAATGATGAAGCTTCTGCCCACGCCAGGAAGAGCCCAGGCTGGGAGATGAACAGGAAGAAGGCGCCACAGGGGAGTCGGGTGGTACGAGAAAGGGATGCTCTGTGCCTGCATCCTCACAGCAGAGCTGTGGGGTGGGGCAGGGGTTTGTGGCCACGACAGGACAGTCTGACTACCGAGTAGGTAGGGGGACAGAGCCTAAAAAAGAAGAGAGTAGGCAGAATGGGACTTAATCCAGGTCAGGACAGTGAGAAGAAGGAACCGAATGAAGGGAGACTGGGACAGGATGGCTCTCCTGTTCTGGAGGTAGGAGAGAAGCTGCCCGAAGTCACCTCCCCAACATGCCGCAGAGCCCCGCCCTCCCGGGCACTATCGCAGGGACACACAGAAAGCGCACAGGGTGTTTCTCACACGCTAAATGACAGTATGGCTCTGCCTGGCCTCTCCCTAGACCAGGACCTCCCTGTGAGCTCCAGTCGCCCTAACACATATCTCAAGGGTGGCACAGAGAGCAGCATGATAAACAGGATGTGTGGATAGGAGAGGGAAGGGGACAAAAAGAAAAGGCAGGAAAAGGAAACAGGAAGAGGAAGGGATTGGAAAGGGAACCAGTGGGGGAAGGAGGCAAGGAGAGAAGATGAGGAGGAGGAGGAGGGAAAGAGTAATGGAGATGAAGACGGGACTGGAGGAAGTGGTCACGAATCCCCTGGTTCTACAACAGCAAGGATTTGAGGATGGGCTTAGGAGAAACCTGGGCTCCAGTGTCAGGGTGGGAACACCACCACGCTCAGTGCACACACAGGCGGAGTGTGCGTCCCCAGGAGCGGACTCCAGACAGATGACAGGCCTGCTGCCGATGGGGCGTTCAGACCAGGTCTCTGATGGCAGGAGGAACCACTAAGGCCTCCCACCCACGGTGGGAAAGATGCTAAGTGGGCGTCGCACAGCTGTCAATTCTGGGCTCATCAGAAACACCTGGTGTGACCACACACCTGAGCAGTGGGGTCTCCCCACACTTCGCCAGCCTGTCTCTTGGAGGAAGCCCGGGGCCAGGCCGCATGGTCCTGCCAGCACGGGTGGGTGGCCCTCTCCCCGGCGTACCCCACAGCCGGCTGTGCCTCTGACACCAGCTGCCCAGAGCTCATACTTACATTACCACCTCCAGGGACATGCTTAATATTGTCCTTGGACCCACACTTGGATTGAATATGGCTGTAGCTCACTTTTTTGGAGACTATCTGGACCTGGAGTGTTAGAGAACAGAAAAAAACAACACAAAGGGAGAGGGCTGGTTAGAACTGACACAGGGCAGTTTGTGAGTCCACAACGTGATCACAATGACCAACAAAGAGTGTTGTTAGAACTCCGCCCCCACCTTCAGCCGAACAGCTGTGGAAAAGCACAGGGGAAGGAACTGGAGGGCGCAGGAAAGGAAATTGAAAACATGAACAAACAACAAACACAAGGACAGAAGCGGATGTCGCAAAAGTGCTACACAGTCATCCTCACTGCTCCTAGGGGCTGGCTGTGAGGAAGGCCCAGATGTCAGCGGGCCTGGACACCCACCAAGGCACAGACCGCCCTGCCTGCTCTCTCCCAGTGGCCACAGTAGCCCGTGGCTCCTCTCTGCAAGGGTCGTGCTCACCAGGACCCACCCTCACACCAGGATGGCATTTCCCTTAAATCTGGAGCCTGGAGTGGCTGCAGCCAGACCTGCTCTGGGAGGCAAAGGCTGTGCAGAGAAGCACGGGCAGCTGGCTCACAGATCTGATGCAAACAGGAAGGGACCAGAGGCTGCCGGACCTGCTGTGCAAATCCTTGGGCAGCAGGGGGCGCAGGCCACAGCCACAGCCACAGCAGCTTCCACACCTCAACGAGTAGCCCATTGGTCTCAGGGTTCGAGAAAGCTCAGTGAAATCAAGGTTTAGGTCCAGTCTTTTTGATTCGAGGGTAAAATCCCTTCCTCAATCCTCTAGATGCCCTATCTTGTTCCCCCTGAGTTTCACATGCAAAGAGACCAGGCTCTGGGCAGGGCGCGATGAGGCACAATCTGGGGGGCACTCCTGCTGCATTAAAAAAGCTCCCCCAGGAACGGAGCAACACAAAGGCCCAGGCTCTAAGACCCGGGACAGAGTTCTTTGTGAGCCTTCTCAAGACAGAACAGTGGCCAGCTTTCTTCCTTCCTTTCCATAGTACCCTTCACAAATGATGTAGTCCCAAACTAAAGAGTTCTGCACGGTCATCTACTTGCAGAAACCCCAACCCAAATACCACACCATTTCTTGCCTTCTTTATGTCAACGATGAATAACTGGTGAGCAAACCACTTCCCAGGGAAACCTGGTCTACACCAGAGACCTGCAGGACCTCTACAAGCCCCCGGGAGCCACGGTGCAGTCTTCCTGAACTGCCAGCTGAACAAAGTCCTTGGGCCAAGACCTCCCATCCTGACCCCTAAGGGCTGGAGCTCAAGCTTCTCTGGCAGCCCTTGGCCACCTACCCTCCAGCTAAGAGCAGAAGTTTCCAGGGGAAGAGGAGGGGCCTGGCTCCATGGTGTGGACACAAGAGGAAACGGACCTAGAGTTTCTGCTCAACTCTGCTGTCCACGTGATGCACAATCCTTGTGCCTAGGAAGGTTTCTTTTGGGGATGAGCACCCTAACTTTCAGTATAAAGGTCCCTGGGGATCCAGGACAAATGACACTGTCTCCACACCCAGCAGTGTCATGAGGGGGCCTCCAGCTGAACTTGAAGCACAGGGGCTCCAGGTCTTAGGAAGAAGCTGGGTGCTCTGTGTGTTTGTGTGCATAACGGGTGGGTTTCAGATCAAAGTCAATGTGAAGGAAGTGAGTGCAAGTGTTTGGATCCATTTTACCCAGTGAGTAAATATTCTTTTCAGGGCTAATGGGCTCCCAACTCTTGTTAACTTTTGGGGTTAACAGAGAAAATTTTCTGATGCCTGAATCATCAAACACAGAGGAGAGAACATGGGGAGGAAAGTAGAAACTAGTTAAGGATAGGAAAAAAGTGCAGTAGAAGGGAAAGTGACTCAGGCTGGAAGAAATAGTTTACTGTCTTTTACCTTCAAGAGGTAAAAGTCTAAATAAAACTCACTTTCCCAGCAGGCGGCTTCTGCGCACTGCCCGTTGGGCCGGCTGCTTTAGTGACTGCGTTAGGTTCAGGCTTTCGAGCTGGAGCAGCTGCCTCTGTTTTTTTCTCTACTTTGGCCTGGATGGAGATAAAGGGAGTGCAAATTTCAAATCAAGAGGATAAGAGCCCAAATGCTAAGACAGGAAGGAGGCTGCAAGGGACTGCAATCCAGGCCAGGGTACCACGCAGAGGCAGGTCACTCCTGCTCCTAGAAGAAAACACCTTACACGGGGCAGACCAAGCCGGAGGGAGGGGGGCTATAGACGATATGAGGAAGAGGTCAAGACACGCTTTGTGGAGAAAAGGCAGGAAGGAGGGCTAAGTGAGCGATTCTCTTCTGAGGGGGCACCGGGGCTGTCATTCTCCAATCACAACCCCCTGCCCCTACAATGTTTTGACAAGCCCCAAACAAGCTGCGTGGTCACCACGAGTCACTACTGATGACGGAGAGTGTCACACCCTCAGGTATGCTGGAACAGAAAATACTTTCATCACCAGACTGAGTTACTCAACCCACCACCTAGACCTCCTGCAGCCCTGGCACCATGAAAGCCTAAGAAGGACACAGAGACAGGGAGGGGCCAGCAGCACTGTAGCCCCAGACACCTGGTTGATACACTAGAGCCATAATCTCTTAGCAAAAGCAATTTTAAGGCCTTTATCCCGAACTAATTCCACCTTTCTTTCACTGTCTTCCAACAGTACCAGGACTGCCGCATTTTGGGCCCTCTTCAATTTTTTAACTGCTCTGGATTGAAGCAAGTTAGGTACCTTACCCTGAGTGGGGGGCAGCGGTGGTGGAGGTTTAATGCTAGAGAATGATGCAGGAGAGGACAAGTTACTGCTCCAGGGACTTCAGCTTGGACTTTTGCCACCACGTTTTTCACACACCATATCCCCATGGCTGCTAAGTTAGCAGATAATTGCAGGGTGGCTGCACCCAGAAAATCCTTAAAGTGAAGCACTGTGGCCTGCCACTCTTCTCCATCATGACACTCTGTCGTGGTCCTTTTGTTTAGGAAAGCCAGAGACTCGCAGCAGCAAGTCACCCTGGCCACAAGAGGACACCCAAGTCCTCCTGCAGACAAGACTCTCGACCCTGGGTGTGGCTTTGGGATGGAGGTGGTCCACCTTCTGCCTATCCTGAGACTCACAGTGCCAGGTAAGAACCATGACAAAGCAGGTACACACCCAGGGTCTCACACCTCTGCAAGCCTCAGAGGCCTCCTGTTTGTTTTGTAAAGCAGAACCCTTTTGCCTCCAAACAAAAATGCAAGCTTAAACTCCAGAATGCAGAACAGCAGCACCTCTGACTGAAGTGAGAAGAGAAAGCCCAGAGCTCAGCCCACCTCTTCTCCCTGCTGCCAGGAGGCAGAGCCTGGGCTGAAATTCCTGACACTGAATCCCATGACCTGACTGACTTCCCCCTTTCTTGCTGGGCCCCTTGGGCTGATATGAGGACATGCCCGGGGAACAACAGGTGATGTGGTAGGGAAGGAAGCAGGGGCCAGCATGCTGAGGACCCCAAGTTTCCTGGACTCACCCGGCCTCCTCCAGGCTGATGCTTGATGTTTTCCGTGGAGCCTACTTTGGAGCGGACGTTCTTCAGATCAGGGGCAGAAGCATTGGTAGCCAGGCGGCCCAGCCTCGGGGCAGAGGAGCTGGGCTTGGCTGTCGTAGGCTTCTTGTCTGTGGAAGGAGTCCCGGGCGGCCGGGGTGGCGTGGTCGTGGGCTTGACTCGACTGGGAGCCGCCCCTGCCAGGGGAGCCGCCCCAGGGACAGCTGCATTTTTCTTCACGGAACTGGTGGAGGTGCTCTTTGGGCGATTCAAGTCAGCTGCAAAAGCAGGAGTGAGAGACAACCAGTGTTCAGGGGACAGAGCAAGAGCGAGCCTTGAAGCCATAGAAGAGGTGGGGGTTTAAATCAGGCTTCCATGAGGTGGGGAACGGGGTCTCACCTGGTGCAGACTTTGTAGCCATCCTCTTGATGTCCGCAGGCTTCCCCTCAGTCTTGACAGCTGCACAAATGTATGCTTATTTTAATATCACGTTAAATAAACTGACCTACTGAAGGGCTCATCCAGCACTGACACTGTGTTGTGCTTGTTTCTGGGAACTGAGTAGTGAATTAGACAGCCATGTAACTACCATGCCTTGATGGAGTGCCCAGGGCCAGGCAGTGAGTCTTACTCCTTCCTCTACAGTCTGGGCAATGCCCTCCACTTGGCCTTTCTTTGAATGGCCTATTTCTTATCAAGAAAGCCCAGGACCACAATGTGCTGGGTGCTGTGGAGTTAAGACATGAACAGTAAATACTGTCTGGAGACTCATAAGGCCTCTTCACTTAAGGTTTTTCTGAATACACATCCCTGCTAATCTCATATGGAGGCTGATGCTGCACTTTTCAATGGACCCCATTAAGGACTGGTGCACAAGCAGGTCTGCACAGCCATCTGTGATGTTGGCTGGAGCTACTGCTGGGGCAAAGCCAAGGCTTCACTCTCCTCCCCATTGGTTCCCGGGGAGGGAAGGGTGACAGCACTCACCAGGGGGCCTCTTGGGCTGGGTCATGGAGGGGCTCCTACTGCTTGGCCCAGCTGAGGCAAGAGTGGCGGCTGCTGTGGCTTTTGGAACAGGCTGGGTGCTCTTGGAGCCGGTCCTGACGGCCAGGGCAGAGGCCGGCTTGGATGGCGAGGCCGGCTTGGATGGCGAGGCCCGCTTCTCAGGAATCTTTGTCTCTGCGACAGGCTGGTAATAGAAAAGTGGGAATAAGAGCTCCAGGTCAGTAACAGTCCCAGTAAGTCAAAGTGAAGGATAGTTCCATATAAGCACACACCAGAAAACACGACGGGTATTGTGGGTTTGGCAGTTACTGATAGAAAAGATCAAAGTTCTCTAGACAACGTGAGAAATGGCCGTGTACAGTGCTGCGTGATCTGGGGTCCAGAAATGGGGAGTCAAACCACCTTAATCCAACCTGAACCAGTGTGAATAGACAGCCCTGGAAAGTGTCCCACACCACAAACCACATCTGCCTCAAGAGCTACTGCATTTACATATTAACACATTTAGTGTACTAACACTTGACCGAAGATTAAATAAATACATACATAAACAAAACAAAAAATTAAAAATGTTCAGTCAATCTAGTGGAGTCTTATACTTTGCTAGTAAGAGTAATAATGATAAAATAAGTTAGAAAGAAGTTACTCAGGACAGAAATCTCTAAAGGATGTGATGTTCTTGAGATGTCTGGCTCTTTGGCCTCAGCAAGCTACAGAACCAGCCTGCTCTCACAGTTTCTCAAGTTTTATTTTCTCTTCTGCCAGAATCACAGAATCGTATTATTTTTTCTAAATAATTTTCCCCCTTTGTTTGCTCCTATAAATCGTCCTACCAAATTAAAGAAAAAAAATCACTTTAGTTTTTATCAATCTCTCAAATGTTTCCATCTATTTCTTATCTAAAATAGAAACAGTGATAATTATAAGCCACATCACCTCTTCAGGTCAGCTATACCTTAGAATGCTGTCTAAAAAACTGCATGGAAAAAAGCCAGGAAACAAGGGTGTTGAGAGAGGCCTGGAGAACTAGCACGGGAGTCAGACCCAAGTTCGGACCCAGGATCTGTGGCTCACTAGCGCAGAACCACAGGGAGGTTATTCACCGGAGCTATGGGATGAGGATACCAACACCATGTCTATAAAGAAACCAGCACAGTACGCCTCATTTCTGTCATTATCACAGTGTGAAATTTCACTAGACAGCACCCCTTCCTTCCCCTGCCCTCCCGTCTTCCCCAGGATTCGCTGCTGGAGAAGTGTCAGGGAGAAGCTGACACCATGGCTCCAGCCACTGTCCCCCTCTGCCCTCTTATGCAAATAAATTGTTTTCTAAAGATCAAGAGGAGCAGTCAAGGGTAAATGAGGATCAGAACGCTTCATGAGATCTTATCGCCGCTGACAGAATTTTGGAGTTTCTTGGTCAGGGTTAAAACATAGCCTACTGCTCCTCGATTCCCCCAGTTTTCTTTACAAGATTACATGAAAACACTGACATTTTAACATGGGAAACTATTTTCAACCCTGAATTGAAAGGGTAATATCAGGCTGACCCACAGGCCCCTCTCAAAGAAAACAAGATGTTAAAAAAAAGGCAGCCACAGATTCCACCCACCCACTCCTCCTATAACAATCCTGTGAAGCTAATGCTGTTCCAAATTGACCAGTTTCTAAGCAATAATGTGTGGGTGACCTGGAAAAATTAAAAAAAACTTAACTAGGAGCCCAGTGAGAGTTGGCAGAATGCCAAAAGCAAAGTAAGTTATCACATGATGCTGGGACCCGCCGAGGTAAGCAGGAAGAGCAAATAATAAAAGCAATGGGGAAAGCTCACTTCTGCAGGATGATTAAGAAAGACAAAGAACTGAATCTGACTGAGAACTTGATGTGGGAATTCTACCAAAAATGAACATCTGATTGGTATGTAGGGAAACTAGTTAAGTTTTTAAGTAGATGAAGAGTAAGGAGGAGTTGGGAGAGAGAAGAAACCAAAGTAGATGTAGCATTGCCTCCAACCAGGGCAGAGAAAAGGTTCAAAGTATAAAAGGACTTCAAATGTTGTAACTGCATCATGGGCCCCCAAACTGATTTTGAAGTCCCCCTCACCCCTTCTTCCTTCCCTTCACCTATTCCACCAGCCTGCCCTCACTGTCCGGCAGCAAAAAGAGCCTGACTATCTGATGCTCAGAGGGGAAAACTTCTCCCTGGCACGGTGCTCAGGTGCTCAGTGACCACTTACCTTGGGCTTCACGTCTTTTGAAGGTAAGGTGGAAGGCCTGGCAGTGGTGGCGGCAGGGCGTTTGGGTGGGGCAGCTGGTACTGAGCCTGAAGCAAGGCTCATGGGTTTTTTATTCGGCCCACCAAAGGTGGTGGGAGCTGGCTGTTTAGGGAGAGAAGTGGGCTGCGTTTTGGCTTTCGTTGTTGAAGTCTTTGCAGGTTGAGTGGAGGCCAAAGGCTTTAAGTTGATTTTTTTTTAAAGGCCAACATCAAACACATAGACAAGAATAAAAACAAATTAAAAAAAAAGTATAAATTGCACAATTTAAAGTAAAATTATAAGCAGTGAGAATAGATGCAACTGAAAATTAGCATTCCTTTCTTCTGAGCTCAGTAAATAGTGGAAAGACAGCAGGATGGAGATAAAGAAAATTGGGAATTATTTCTTAATGACACAAATTCCAGTGTCACAAATTCCAGTAATTTGGTACCTGAAGATTTAAATTCAGTAATAGCTTTAAACAATTAACTAACTTTTGAAGGTTGTAATAATTCTATTAAGAAAGTCACCAGCTGGTGATTAAGCTATTTATTATCTGTACCTCCATGAGGGAGTATTAACATCCTGCTTTAAGATCACACTAAAATGTGGCATCTGTACCCTGCAGTAAGTGTCTGAAGCTATGATCCACCTTAAAAATCTGTGCTCCCTTTCCATGAACAAAGACTTCAGCATGGATTTCTGAACAATTCTCCAATTCCGCTTACTATTATTGTTAAGGGAAGCAGAAACAACATCTACAGAAATATTTCTGCAGATATTCAAAATAATAGGAATAAAAAAAAGTCAAAAATAGGAACAAAAATAGGGTCCAAAGCAGGGATTTTTAAGGTCTGAGTCAGAATACCAAGGTAAAGTGAGAATATAAAATATTTTCTAAGCATGTCCATACTTGAGGAAGGACTCATAATAGCTCAGAAAAATGAAATTTCATCTGCCTGATTCAAGCAATAGTAGCAGAAGACACTATTTTTAAAAGTTACGGCAGCAGAAGACAGCCCAGCACTCTGGCACCTACCTTTGTTTTCTTCTCTGGGCTTGGTGGGAGCTCCTTGTTTGGAGGGGCAGTGATGTCATTTCCGGTCACACTCACAGGAGGCCGTCCTTCTTCTGGTTTGGCTGTTCCTAAGAGGGGAAAGTTATGCTAAGCAAATGTTTCTCACACCCATCATGAAAATGCAAGCCTTTACGGAGACAGACCACTAACGAGCACCTCCTTCTGAAAAACTCCACAGGGCTGTTCTGCTGAAAGTGGACAAGACTCCCAAGTCCCAGTTATTGTGATGAAGGACAGTTTTAGATGCCACAGATTCAGGCAGCCTGTCCCTGTGGAGAAGCAACCTAAGTGGGATTTGCACAAATGGTCACTGGAAGAAAATGGCCCTTAAAGTTTTGTTTCCCTTCCCCTGAGACTGGCAAAGCGGTTCTGTCACCCAACCACTAACTCCCAGAGCACACAGGGGACAAAAACCACTTCTACTAGAGTTTATCTCTTGGAATAAAGGTTGCTGAGAGATGGGATAAGAGCCAGAAGATCATCCAGTGTCCTCTCCTTACTTCCTTTCCCTCTAAAGCACCACTTTACGGAGGATGTGAGATTAACTTGATCTAGCTCTAGCAGTGACCCAGATTTCCAGCCAGGCTGAGGAGACCCAGGAAATCAGACCCAGGACCAGAAATAAAGTCTACTGCCTAAAGCTATCCCCAGCAGCACGACGATGGGGTGGTTACTCCAGATTTTAAATAGTGCTACACCTGAAAGCATTAAAATACCATGAAATTTATCACCTCTGTATGGGGAAGACCTTTCTAACTGCTATAAAATCCAGAAGCCACAAAAGATAAGCTAGACTTAAGAAAAATAAAAGGCTTCAATGTGCCTGCCAAAACAATAAGAAAAGTTAAAAGGCAAATGACAAACAAGAAAAAAGTACTGCACCTCACCTCACACCAAAGACACAGAGGTTATTACACAAATTACTCCAACAAATCAATGAGTCCTACAGAAGCCAACAACCTGCTAGAAACAAAGCCAAAATAATATGAACACAGTTTACAGAAAAAGAAGTAAAAATTGCTTTTGAAAATATGTCCAATGAAAATTAAAACTACATTGAGATGCTATTTTTTAAGCCAGCATAATAACCCAACGAAAGTCCTAAAATTTCGAAGTAGCTGCTGGGGTATCTATGAAACCATATACTACTGGGAAGTGTGTGAAAAAGAACAACGCACATGTGAAGCAGTCTAGCACCATCTCTGAAAAGTACCAGTGTAGATAAATTCTAATCCAGAAATATAATTACTAGAAATTTACCTTAGAGATATATTCACACACCTGCAAAGTAGCAAGTGTGTAAGGTCTTCACCAGAGCACTGAAAAGCAAAGGACTGAAACAACCCAGAAGTCTGCTAACAGAAAACTGGGTAAAGCAGATGGCAGAAATATCAATGTAACCTCTAATCTGAAAAAATAAACCATGATCAAGTGAAAAGAAAAGCAAGGCACAGAACAGTAGGTATAACATGAAACCACTGTCTAGAAAAGACAATGCATTTCTACTGCAAATATATTTGCACATGCATTTTAAAAAGTTTTTAGAAAGATCATGATGAAATAAAACAACGGAGACTTAATTTTGGGATGGGGCACAAAACTAGGGAGGGTAGGAGGGTTTATTTTAAAACTTTTTGTTTTAAAATAAAGATTCACAGGAAGTTACAAAGTAATGTCCAAGGAGGTTCTGAGTACCCTTTACCCAGGTTCCCCCAGTATCAACATCCTGCATAACTACAGGATGCACTATCAAAACCGGGAAACCGATAATGGTACAATCCACAGAGTTTATCAGATTTTTCCAGCTTTACATGCATTCATGAGTGTGTGTGTGTCTGTGTGCACGTGCACATGTGCACGTAAGCAGTTCTATGCAATTTTATCACACATGTAGCTTTATGTAACCACTACTAAGAATCAAGACACATTAATCGTTCTGGCCCCACAAAGCTCCCTTATGTTCCCTTTTTATAGTCACCCTACCGCCCCTTCCCTCTCCAATCCCTTAATCTCTGACAGCTATTAATCTGCTCTCCATCTCTATATTATTATTTCAAGACTATTATGTAAGAGGAATCATTCCGTGTTGCTACCTGTTGTGCCTGGCCTCTTTCACCCAGGACAATGCTTGTGAGGTGTACCCACGTTGTTGCATGAGAAGTCCACAGTGTGGCCCTACCACAGGTTAACCATTAATGTACTGTAGGACATTTTGATCGTTTCTGGCTGACTGCTATTATAAATAAAACTGCTTTGAACATTTATATATAGGATTCTGAGTAGTTTCATTGCTACTATATAGAAATGCAACTGATTCTTATATGTTGATAGTGTACCTATGCCTTAATGAACTAATTAGTTCTAGGGGGTTTTGGAGTCGATTCCTTGGAATTTGCTATACAGACATGTCATCTACAAATACAGCCAGAATGATTTCTTCCTTTCTAGTATATATGCCTTTGGTTTCCTTTTCTTGCTTCGTTGTGCTAACCGGAACTTCCAAGACTGTGTTAAGTAAGAGTGGTGAGAGCAGATAGACTTCCTTGTCTTGTTCCTGATTTTAGAGTGAAAATATGCAGTCTTTCACCATTAACTATGATATCAGCTGTAGGTTTTTTGGTGATCTCTTTATCAAGATGAGGAACAACTCCCTCTGTTCTTTGAGAAAGTTTATCATGAATGGGTGTTGGATTTTGTTAAATGTGTTTTTTGTGTTTATGATTTTTTCTCTTTAAGACTTTTGAAATGGGTTGTACTAATTGGTTTCTGATTATTGAACCAGTCTTGCATATCTGAAATAAATTCCACTTGGCTGTTGTGTATTATCATTTTCATACATATATGTCATATATTACTGGATGTGATTTATCAGGGTAATACTGACCTCATAAAATGAGCTAGGAAGGTGTTCCCTCTTATATTTTCTGGCAAAGAATGTATAAAGTTGGTGTTAATTATTCTTTAAATGCACGGTAAAATTCTCCAGTGAAATCATCAGAAGCTATTCAATTAAAAATTCAATTTCATTAATAGCTATTCCAGTTATCTATTTCATCTTGGTTGAGTTTTGGTAATTTGTGGTTTTCAAGGAATTGGTCCATTTCTTCTAAGTTGTAGATTTGTGAGGGTACAGGTGCTCCTAGGTCCTTATTAGCCTCTTAATAGCTGTAGTGCTACACCCTGTTCCTGTTATTGGTGGCTTTTATCTTGGTCAGTTTTGTTGTGTTTGTATCATTTGTGTTGGTTTAAGAACTAGATTTTGGTTTAATATAACTTTTTGTTTGTTTGTTTTCTTGCTTATAACTTCACTCGTTTCTGCTTGCTATGGATTTATTCTGTTCTTTTTCTACTTTCAGAGTGTTGATTTAACAGCCTTTCTCTTCTGTAATGTAAGCATTTAGTGCCATAAATAACCCTCAGTGCTGCTGTAGCTGCATCTGACAAATTCTGATATGATGTATCTTCATTTTCATTCAGTTCACTGTATTTTTAAAATTTCCTCTGAAAACTTCCTCTTTAGCCCAAGAATTATTTAGAAGTGCACTGTTCAATTTCCAAGTGTTTGAACATATTCCTGTGGTCTTTCTATTATTGGTTTCTAACTTGTTCCATTATGGTTAGACAATATGTTTTCTCCATGATTTCAGGCTTTTAAATTTACTGAAATTTGTTTTATGACCCAGGATCCATCTTGGTGCATGTTCCATGGGCACTATGGAAAAAAATATATATTCTGCTATTGCTGGGTTGAATTTCTGCAAATGTCAACTGGATTCAGCTGTCTGACATTATTGTTAAATTCTTCTTTACTAATATTCTGCCCAACAGTTCTGTCAATTAGATTAGGATGTAGATTGGGATGTAGAAATCCCAAATTGTAAGTGTGATCTGTCAATTTCTCCTTTCAGCTCTATCAGTTTTTTTGTTCATTGTATTTTGAAGCTCTGTTTTTTGGTGTATGTACCTTTAGAATTGCTATATCTTCTTGGTGGAATAATCCTTTATTCTCTGCTCTGAATTCCACTTGGTCTGTTATTAATACAGCCACTTTTAAAAAAATTAATGTTAACATGATATATCTTTTTCCATCTTTTTATTTTCAACCTATCTATGTCCTCTATGTCCTTATGTTAGACATACATTTCTTATAGACAGCATAAACTTAGATCATTAAAAAAAATCTACCCTTTCAATCTGTCTTTTAAGTGTAGTATATAGACTGGATTTAAAGTAATTACTGACATATTAGAGCTTCTACCATTTTATTATTTGTTTTTTATTCTTATTTGTTTCCTGTTTCTCTTGCCTTTCTATGGGTTAAATTTCTTTTTTAGAATTCCATTTGATTTTTAAAATATTTTTGAAAATACTGCTATGCATAGTTTCCCGAGTGATTGCTTTAGGTAATATAACATACGAAATCAATGTTTTCCTACTCGAAGCGAATTACTAAAAACTTACTTCCATTTAGGATCTTTTACCCATTCTGCTTTTATCGTCTTAAATATTTCCTTTTCTTACACTGAGCACCTCATTAGACAGTATTTGTAAATTTTGCTGCAACCATCAAATACGATTTAAAAAATTCCTGGGGATAGTCCATTAAATTAAGCCCTATTTTTACCTGCTCCAATGTTCTTTCATTTCTGAAATTTCAAGCCTCTTTCTGTTACCATACCATATCTTTTTGGAGAGCTTCCTTTAGCCATTCTATAAGGATACATCTACTAGCAACAAATTCTCTTAGTTTTCCTCTAAGAACGTCACAAAATTTGCAGTTGACTGTTCTTTTAGCACTTGAAAAATGTCATGCCATTTTCTTGTGCCCTCCATGGTTTCTGATAAGAATAATACTGTCATCTAAATTGCTGTTCCCCAATAGATAATGCATCATTTAACTCTGGTTGTTTTTCAGATTTTTCTTCTTTAATTTAGTCTTTAGTTTACAAAAGTTCAATATGATAGGTAGTGGCATAGATTTCTTTGCATTGTTCTATTTGCAGTTCAGTTTCTTGAATCTGTAGGTTTATGTCTTCTTACAAATTTGGTAAGTTTTCAGTCATTACTT